GCTGGTGATGTTAGGAGCTGGTCAGTATCGTGATTTTCTTTGCACCATATAAATAACTTCTTAATTTGTCCAATGCCTACGCGATTACCAGAAGTTTTTTTCATTTTTTGTGTAATTTCCTTCCGTTTTGTTGAGATATCTATAGATGTAAATTATCAGACGATTTTTTCCAATCTCCCCCTGTGAAAAGCCATTTGCAGCGCCATTTGCGTAGTTTGGCGCATTTGTAGTTGGTATAGATGGCTTCTGTAGCTTGGGAAAAATTAATAAGTTGAATTGAATTTTCATTTTCTTTGACTGGTTTGCTTATCCTTGAGCATTTTCTCTACTTGTTAATTTAGTTGAAGGTTTTGCTATAGTGGTAAAATCCTTGATGAACCGTTGGTAGTGAGATGTAAGACCAAAAAATGCTTTCAGATCTTAAAGATTTCCTTGTAATTTAATATTCTTTTAGCTTGCATTTTTCTTGGGTCGGTTTAGATTCCTTTGGTTGTTTTTATAAATCTAAAAAATCAGTTGATTCCCTCAGAAATTTCGATTTACCAAGGTTGACACTTAATAGCGCTTACAAGTATTTGTTTATTTTAACAAATACTTGTAAGCGCTACAAATTTACAGAAAAAGAAAAAACAAAAACTTAATACTCAATTCAGCAACTACTTAAACTATAGTTATACTAAAATCTATTTTAATACAGAAATAATCGCAAAAAAAACACTTGCTAGTTATCTTTTTGTTTTTGATTTTTTTTTCTTCTTTTTTTTTTATTTTTATACAAGATTAAAAAACTTAAGCTGTCAAAGCTACCAGACAAATAAAACAAATTTATGGTAAGTTGGAGGACAAAACTTTTTTTAGTTGTTCTCTACTTTGCCGCAAATCAATAAATTTTTTATATTTATTAACATTATTAAACATCCTATTTATTGGTTCGTATTTCTCATAATTTGTTCGATGAAAAGCAGTAATAAATAGATTTTCTGACCTAAACCGAGTACTAGCATTTAAGTTAGAATCAACAAATGCTTAAACAAAATATCTGCAACGATTCTTCTAGTTTCTAAAGAATTCAGGCTTAAAAGTTTAAGTCAGTCTCCATAGGGTGGCAGATGTATTGGATTATGCCAATTTAGACCACGTGATGCATATTTAATAAAGTTCCTTTGAACCGCCGCAATTCTTCGTTTATACAAAGAATAATGTGGCACCCAAACTTGACTTGCATATTCAAAATTAGACCGAACCAATAATATATACAAAGATTTCAAAATATAAGGATCATTGAATTCTTTACCCCACCTTTTTACAAAAGCAACCTTTGAGTTGGCCTTATTGATTATTGCATTCAAGTGAGTTCTAAAAGTCAATTTTCCAACAATGACAAAAGCAAAATCCTTAAAAAAATCAGCTCTTTCTACAAGCTCATAATTAATACAGTAATAAACAATAAAAGGAGCCAATTTGCGCGTATAAGTAACAACCGCACATTTGTCAATATTAAGGAGCCGATTGTTGTAGTTGCACCAGGTTGAAAAAGAAATCAAATCATCTTGTAATTTATTATTATCCTCCAAGCAGGACCTTAAATATTTTTAGATTATCGGTATAAATTAAAATTGCACTGTACCTAATGACAGAGGTAACATCATTAGTTGCCATTATAAGTAACAAAACCTTCCGGAACCTTTGAATTGGCAAAATACGGACTTGAAATGCAGGATATAAAAGAAACATAGTAATTGCGACCAACCAAATATGATTCAAAACCGTTTAGGAGGAAACCCAGGTCTTTCCAACTTAAATAAGATCACACTATGTGCAAATAGATCAAAAGTTTTCGACAAGTCCGTGTAAATGACATCAGTTTGGAAACCAGACTCCATAGAATTCAAACAGAAAGAAGTCACATCTACTAAATTACTTATGGTTGAACGTTTTTTACAAAACCATGTTGATTCGACACTAAAAGGCCCGAACACTGATCATAGGTGGAATTAAAAACCATAAGTTCAAATTTAGGAATGAACGACAAGTTTGCAATTGGCCGATACTTGGCCACATAATTTTTGGGACCCCTTGTATGAAACGGGACGAAAAAATGCTTCCTTCCGAAACTCCGAAAAATGACTGCAAGAAAGTGAGCGAGTTAACAAAATTGACAGCGGACCAGACAGATATAAAGAGCAGTTTTTTAGTACTATTAGTACTAAAACATTATCAGGCCCCGGAAAACGTCTTTCTCAAGCGCATCCAAATATTTTTTTTCTCGAGAAATTGAAAAATCCATTGAAGAAATCAGCAGAATTGGAAAGGTATGAAGATAATTAAAATTGTCAGAGTTAATATAAAAAATATTATTAGAATACGAGCTGAAAAAGAAATCACTGGTATTTAAGCTAGAATCAATAAATGCTTGAATTCTTGTAGCATCAAATTGCTCATTTTTGATCTGGATAGTGAAGAAAATATCTGCAACGATTCTTCTAGATTCTAAAATATTCATACTGTGTAATATGAAATGAATTATTGGAAGGAAAGCCCTTATAATTCAAAAAAGATAGAAATTGATCACACTTTCTTTTCGAATTAACAAAATTCCAAAACGACTAGATTATTTTTAATTTGATGATCCATAATAACAAGGTAATTGTCGTATTTGGACTGCAGGGCAACTTTGTAGAGATTAAATAGATAAACAAATTCGTTATATCTATATCCAGCTCTATATTTCATATACAAATTCCAGGCTTGGTTTTTTTTTGTTTTTCAATTTTTCAACTCTTTATCAAACCACGGTGGGGAAGGGTTAACGAACCTGTCACATTTAATAGGAGTAAATAAGGTAAAGGCATGATTTAGAACGTTGTAAAAACTAACCACCATTTCAATAATCTCCAAGTTTCGCTTTTTTAATTATAAAAGCATGAAGAACAAATTGGAGGATGATAATTATCTACATTAACTAAAGGTAAACCACCGTCATTTACAATTAAGTTACATCAATCTGTAGTAAAAATCAAGTCCAATTGCCTTTTTTGAAAATTAACTTTATTAGAAATTTTTTGGAGATCATTAATGTTTAAACCATCTATTAAAATTGCCTCAGAATCATTTGCAATATGACCGGTATTAAAAAGATCATATTCTTCATCATGAAGCGTCTACGAAATATTTGGAAGATTAACATCTCCAAACAAAATTTATTCATCTTTTAAAATCATGAAAAAATTAATATAACCAATACCGGCACAAATTTTTTTATAGGTTTCAAAGGATGAATTTGGATGAATATAACAATTCACTATAAAAATATTCTTGCAAATTAAGTCCATCTTTATAGTAAGAATTTCCAAAAACGAAAACTGGTACAAATCTATCTGATTCGTATTAAAACTATTTTTAACCGAAACCAGAACACCTCCGTGTTTTGTGATCAATGTTCCTCCAACAAAATCACTTGAGACAGTACCACATCTTTCCCATCTATAAACAGAATAACTGTTCCTAAATAATTCAAGAGAATTAATCGTATGGCAAAGCTAGGCCTCAGTTAAAATAAAAATATCACAATCAAGGACAATCGAATTTAGAAAAACTTCAGAGTTTTTAGTACGTAAGGCTCTAATATTCTAATAGTAAATCGAAATAAAAGTAGGTTGGAAATTTATATTATTGCAGTTAATAGCGCTGGTGTTATTGTCAGTACAACTTAGATTTGGCGCGCCGTAGCTAGAAACGAAAATATTGACCGTGGTTTTCTCTCCTCTATTGAAGGTGATTCATTCTTCTATTAGCAATGTGACCACGGTAAGTTTTTCAATTCTCTTCGACATCTTGGGGAGACATACTCATCTCTTCATGGAATTTTATGTACAAATGCCTTAAATTCTGAAGATCGCATGGCAACCCCTCCTGCCGGATCAAAACCTTAATATTTGTTTTTGTTTTTTAATCAACACAAACATAACCCTTTTGGTCATGCAAGTAAGACAAAAATAGCCTAACATTTTCATAAATCCGGTGATCTCTAAGACGCGACAGCACATACTTACCATCACCGTCTTCAACCGCCCTTTGCGTTTTTTCTTTTCGTGTATATCGATTTATTAATTTTATAAAAATTATAAAATTTTTTTGATGACATAGCGATTCAGATTTTGATATGATTAAAAATTAAAAAAAAAAATTTTTTTACTTATATTATATTATTTTTTTTCGTAAACGCTTAAACCAAGATTGCTGAGTTGCAAATTATAGATTATAAGACTCGAAAATAAATTAGTAAAAAAAATAAACTACAGTAATTACGAGTGAAAATAATTGATTTAATTAACATCGGTACACGTCTTATCTGTTTCACTGCGAAATATAGAATGTTCTAAAATTCTTTAATAGTTTATTTAACACTTGTCACTGCGAGAGCTCACACTATTTTAAAACAAGGACAAAGATGCTTACTAATGCATTTTAAAAACTTTAAAATTAAATGAAAGGGATAAAGGAACAAAGTCATTGTGTATGATGTGATATAAATCGCCTAAAAACACTATAATTTTTATACACAAGCTAGTGTAATAAACACGCTGATTGAATTTTTAAATTTTATTGATTTTGTTGATAAATATTTTTAAAATATTTGTATACTAGTTTATTACAGGTTAAATTTTAAATGAATATTTGAGTTGCAAAAAATGCTTTATTATTTTTAAATTTATGTTCACAATTCTAAAAAAAAATATGCAAATCTATTTCTTGTTAATAAAATTAATATTTTTAATATTTTTAAACAAGTGCTTTACTGGTAAAGCCAACTTCATGATTTTAAACCAAAATAAAATTTAATTTATGTATTTTTCTATCCATGCATTATTAAATCAATGTTACATACATTAAAAGTAAAACTACAATTTCTGTCTCGTATTCTGTTAATGATAACGTACATTATTATAACTTACTTTTTTATTTAGATTAAAAATTTTTTATTTAGATAAAAAAATTACCTCATCCTTCCCTTTCACTACGCACATTTTAACATCATCCTCAGGCGAAGACCACACTAAGCGTTGTTGCTCTGTCAGATCATGTATACTCAAATTATATACAACATTTCTGAAAAAAAAAATAAAAATAAAAAAAAGTGAACATGAATATAGTTTCAAACAGAAACTGAATAGTTTTTTGAACGTTTTCTTCTTATATGTATGATAATAACTTTGTTTATTTTACTCTAAAGAGTGAAATAACTATAAAAAGCATTATTTTTTAAAGTGGTCATCATAAAGCACATTATCAAAAACATCTTAACTACATAAACAACATGTTAATTTTAGAATTTTAAATGGGCGCTATCGCATCAAAAAATTTGCAAACTGTCTTTTATGTCAAAACAATAATGTACTATACTAATATAAGATACTTTTTTAAAATATGCTGTACAGTTTTAGGCCCAGTTGTTTAAAACTAAGGAAAACTTATATTTTTGCCTATAGGTACGGGAACTCACTCTATAGTGTTTATTAATTAAAATTGTTAATTAAAATTAAAGTAGTAGAACCCTCGCAATACAACTTATTTGAATAGCCTTGTCATCTCTATTTTGACCATTAATTACACAATTCTTTAACCAAACGAACTTAAATTTTTACTTATATCTGTTTTTCACTACTTTCTTTATTATTTTTTCTGTTAATAAAAGAAAGTGCATTATTTATAAAAACTTTGTCAATAGGTCAGTCTTTGACTTTGTCATTTATAGTTATTCAATTAGTAATGATTTTAAATGAATTTGAGTTTTGAAATAAGTAACGAAATCACTCTATTCTTTCCATTATTTCATGAGCAAATCAAAAAAAGCGAATCATATCATATCAAAAATAGTAAACTGAAATAAAATCAAATTGAGTTATGTGAAAATTTTGTTATTTTTTTTAATAAAACTGAATTTAATTGCCATTATATTTTATTTTTCACTTCATGGAAGTTAGATAAAAACATTCGATAAAAACATTCGGTGCACGGAGATATAGAAATAAAGCAATATATAAGGAAAAATATTTTGTGCATATTGATTCATACTTTATGAAATATATTTATTACCGATACGTGCGTATGTATATTCATAGGAAACATATTTATTTTTATTGTTGTTTATGATTATAATATATTTTGATATATTATGATTAGAATTATTTTTTAGCAAGCTGTCGGTCTACCGGTCTGTCTGTGTGTGCACGCATGAATTTTAAAGCTCGACTGAACATATTTCAGGAAATTTTATGTGTTGTATATCAGATTGCTTTTTACTGATATACAACTTACTGATTCGGATTTATTGATTACTTGCTTCTAACTGGACTTTTTGTGGGTCAATTTTAGATTTTTGACATATAAAGAGAAATTATTAACAGATTTCTTTGAAATTTAATATTTATATTTAATAGTGACGAAGCAATGAACATATAAATTTTTTGGAACGATCAGGGCTCGGAAATCGAACTAGGGCCGAATTTAAAATTTTTATTGTGTCTATACGTAACTAAATATCTAAATGGCCAATGTGCGAGAAAATAGACAAAAAACGACTCTGGAGATATGTGATCTCGACTGCTTAACAACGGAAGAAGAGATACAATTCGATAGATGTTGTGATAATAAGTGAGCAATACCGAAACAAGAACAACGGAAATTTGTACACTGACAAGATTGGAACGACAGCTGTTTGGGTAGTCAACCTTGCGAGGGTACCAAACGTTGGACAACGGGCCGAAGAGGGTATCGTCTGGATCACTGGAGGCGGAATAGTTGTAATGAGCTGCTACTTAACACCAAATCAAACAGCAATGGAGTATCGATCGAAATGGAACAAATTTCGAACAATTGGAACAAAGACATGGAATAGGATAAAATAATTGTGGGAGATTTTAATACCAAGGCGATTGAGTGGGGTATGCCGCAAACTGACGCAAAAGGAAGACAAATACTGGAGGTGGCTGCTAGAAGAAATTTGGAAACACTACAACTTTTAGACGACCGGGATACACAGAGAACATACCAGATATTGCGTTATCATCGGAGAGATTGTCAGGCAATATAATGGGCTGGGCAATAATTGAGGATTACACAGGAAGCGACTACCAATATATCACATTTGAGATACGGGCTCCCGTACGGAATTTACAGGGAGCTCTGCTACGAAACAGCAAGTGGAATATAAGAAAAATGACCACTATCAGGATGGCTACCTCCAAAAGAGAAAATTTCGAGGTGTGGTCACGAGCATCCGAACGGACAGGACGACTTCAGCCAGAAGCAGTAGCAGAAGCAACAATGAAAATAATTACAACTGCATGTAATAAGTCTATGCCCCGGAAGAAAGAGGGGGGACACAGACGGCCAGTGTACTGGCGGACAGAGGAGATAGCAGAACTACGAAGGAGATGTCTGAGCGAAAGCTCAGACGATGGAGATATGAACATGGCGAAGTTAATTTTTACATCACGCAGTTTTTGTCGGGTTATGTATATTTTCGGGCATACTTACACAGAATGGGAAGGTTGAGGAGCTCTGAATGCATTTACTGCGGCGGAGCGTAAGATACTGTCTTCAACACTTTTTTCGAATACAGCGTTGTAGAAACTGAACGTCGAGGCGTAGAAACAGCCATCGGAATAATGATTCCAGAGAACATCGTGGGACGAATGCTAGAGAGCAAGGATAATTGGGTCGTAATAGCGAAATACATAAAAATGTTGTTACACAAGAAGAAGAGGCTGAAATATTAGGATTAAGCAGACGAGATAGAAGCGGCATAATTTAGGATGCGTAAAAATCAAAAAGAGGAGAATTAAAAAGGAGGATAGGTTTTATCATGAAAGAGAGCAGCACGGTCCAATTTGAAGTAATGCGAAACGCGGGTCCAGATTGGATCCACCTTGGAATGGTGGGTGTTTTTGTCGATAGGAGTCCGACAGTATTGAGGTGTGCGGAACCATCTCATTCCCCATGAAGGGTTTCACCTACTTGTCCACGTGGACTAACAAAAAAAACATTGGCCCTACTAAAATATTCGTTTGTGTAAAATTTTAATGTCACAGCTTTAATAGTTCCTAAGATATAGCTAAATAACTTTTGAAGTTGTACGGCAGCTACCAGAAGGAGCCAAGCAATTTCAGCAACTCTCATCAAGCACATTGGCCTTACTAGGTATATACTTGTACGAAATTTTAATACAACTTTCATAGTTGCTTCAAGATATAGCTAAATAAATTTTGAAGTGGTGTGGCAGCTACCCGAACCAATAACCCGATCATGTCCAATTTAAATATGTTCTGGCACTTACTACAATAAATCATTTGTGAAAATTTGGTGAACTTAGCTCAATTAGTTATTGAGTTATCCGTGGGAAGGACGGGATAACTCAATACACTTGAGTCTGTATCTCAAAGTCATATACTTGAGTCTATATCTTAGAACATTATTACTTAACGTTACAAACGGCAAGGCAAATTTAGTATACTCTTCGAACATACGTTCGTGCGGGTATAAAAATAGGTAGACATCTATTTCGTCCCTTCTAGAGTAACTCCGATGTATATAAAATTGAAAATAAAAAGGTATGCTTCTAAACTCTTTTTAGCTTAGGGATTTTTTTGTCGAACTACTCCTTAAATAGATATACCTTGATTATAACAATATTATGAATAATATATATGTATATGGTGATAATATTAATATCTAATATATAATTGTTTCTGTTGCGCAGCAGGTTTATTCAATTATGAATGCTTTCTGCGATGTGAATACAATATGCACAAGCACATAACATACATAATATTAGAATTGAGAATTAAGAATACATTTATTTTGTTTTTTTTTGTATCTTACTTCTTTTTTTATTATTTATTGTAAAAATCTGCCCATAATTTGTGTATTATATATATTGTATAAGATTGTACATTTTCCAAAAAATACACATGTACATAAATGTACACACATACTGTAAACAATTCAAATATCCCAAGGACAAAACCAAGACTAATAGTGCAGTAATTATGACACTGGTCCCTGAACTTAAAAGTTTCGTGTTAAAACTCTGGTTAGGTCACTATAAAGTTATTTTTATTATTTTTAAATATCATACATAATATATTCAAAATTGACATTGTTAATTTTGTCTCGATAAGATTCTAAAAATTGTAATTAAAAAATGGACCTATGAGACCTATGGCAAGATGTGTTTCCTGAGGACGTATATTTTACATAATATTTCGTTCAAAATAAAAAATTGCGTATGTTGGTTAGTAAATCATGCAATTTATACCTGCATGTTACTTCTACTCCTTTCTTAATATGCTAAAAAAAGTTTAACATAAATTATAATAAAGTTCTACTTGTAAAAAATCCACAATGTAAATAATAGATCCGCGAGTATAATATATTGTGTCCACAAATACACTCAAAAATCATTAGAAGATGAAGACGAAAATTTTTATTTTGTACAGAAAATCAATCTTAATATTTTTATACATGTTATGTAGATTTTCATATACATCCCAAGAGCCTTAGAAAGTTACGGAAAACAAAAAAAAATGTTCGAAATACATTAAGGTGCGACCGTAAGTTATGACGAAAAAAAATTAATTCTTTGTATTGTGATAATTGATAAAAGAAGACAATCAAATTAAATCATTTGTTTATAGTTCATAGTTACATGATTTGATGTTTGCAAGTTTTATAAGAATTCAAAAATACACTCAAGTGGGTAATCCTGTGTTATTGAAAAACTATTATAAACTTTTATTTTACAAGTAATCAAAAGAAAAAGTTTCCTTACTGGGACCCTTTACGAAGTGATTAATTGGTAAAACAATCTTCTAATATAACTTAAGAAAGCCATTATTTAACTCTGCTATTTTAATCACGCAAAACTTCTAGAAAGACGCGGTGGTTAAGTTAAATTTAAAACAGGGATCCAACAAATTTTCGCCCTTGCAACTATAAAAGTAGGAAAAATAAATTGGAGAATGGTAATTATCTACATTAACTAAAGGTATACTATCATTAACTATTAAATTACAATAATCAGTTGTAAAAATCTAGGCTCTATTTTA